GGACTTAGTCTCTGCAGCTGAAATAAGGCTGAAAAAAACGGCTGAAAAAAAGACTAAGTCCCATCGCCGAATGGGACTTAGTCTCTGCAGCTGAAATAATTTCCCATTTACTGAACCAAGTGGGAAATAGCCAGGCAGGCACAAGGGTTTGCACCAGGTCTGGGGACACAGGGGACACCGTCTGAAATGGGCCGTGTCCCCAACAAGTCTGGGGACACGGCCTTAAAGGGGCAGTGTCCCAATCTTCCTGATGTCCCAAAAAAGGTGTTTAAAGGGCCAGCACCAGTCACATAAAGAGTCCATAAGCCCCAATATGCCCACCGACAGTCTTAAAGGGCCATACACACCAAATAAAAGTGCATACATTTCCACAATCTCCCAGGGGCCATAGTCATGCGGGAGGAGGCTGGCAAAGAGGCTTCTCCACAACCCAGGGAAACAGGGCAATTTGCCATTTAAAGGGCCCGTTACAAATAGCAGTTTGTAACAGGGTGTCAATCCATATCTGCCAAGTGACCCGATGTAGGGGGAACAGTCCCTATTCTGCTCTGTGTCTAATTTCATGGCGCAGAACCTTAGGACAGGTGTCAATCCATATCTGCCAAGTGACCCTATGTAGGGGGACCAGTCTCTATTCTGCTCTGTGTCCGTGTGCATCAGGGGCTCTGAGGACAGGTGTCAATCCATATCAAGGTGTCAATATGTCATATGTCAGGTGTCAATCCATATTGATTGTGATTTAGGAATGTTAGGTGATTTCTGCCCTTTATGGATTAAAACCAGACTCTGTATCAACTGTGTAATTTTCCATGGGAGTTTTGCCATGGATCCCCCTCCGGCATGCCACAGTCCAGGTGTTAGTCCCCTTGAAACAACTTTTCCATCCCTATTGTGGCCAGAAAGAGTCCCTGTGTGTTTTAAAATTCGCCTCCCCATTGAAGTCAATGGCGTTTCGGGCGGTTCGCCGGTTCGCGAACATTTGCGGAAGTTCGCGTTCGCCGTTCGCGAATCGAAAATTTCGGGTTCGCGACATCACTAATGATCGGGTTGGAGTTCGGTGTTCTGTGATTTAATGGCGCGTTTTGAAAGGCTGCAGGGCATGCCTTGGCATGGCTGTGATTGGCCAGTGCAGCATGTGACCCAGCCTCTATATATAAGCTGGAGTCACGTAGCGCCGCACGTCACATGAGCTCTTATTAGTGTAGGACGAGGATGATGCCACTTTCAGGGACAGATTAGGAAATAATTCTGCCTCCCAGGATATCCTTGAGAACAGGACATATGCATATGGGAACATATGAGTGGTGCTGAGGGCAAGAGATCCTAGACCAGGGGTTCTCAACCCAGTCCTCAGGACCCCCTACCAGTCCAGGATTTGGGGATTACCTGGGTGTGTCTCAGGTGTTTAGAAAATGGGATAAAAACACCTTAGACACACCCAGGTAATCCCTAAACCCTGGACTGGTAGGGGGTCCTGAGGACTAACGTTGAGAACCCCTGTCCTAGACTGAATTAAAAAATTGTCTATACCTGAATTTGTGTTAGGCTTTGGGATTTGTAGGGATGTGTATTGCTCAGTTTATCCTAAAAAAGGGAAGAGTTGGATGTATGTATGCACAAGCTGGTGGGTTTGGGGCACACATATGGTGGTACAGCCTTCTATGATTACCAATGGTTCTTTTCTGCATAGGTGGGTGCAGCTCTGACTCAGTTTAACTACAGCATAAATTGGAGCAGATTGGATACTGAGTTATTATGCAGGCATTTTGCAGGCCTCAGGACTCTGGCTTGTACAGTTTGTGCATCCAAAGCGCACTCTACCAACCTATGCACTAATACGGCAGAAGTTGAGTAGGGCCATTTAGTCCCTAACTCTGCAAGATCAACCAAGGGGTTGAAGGATTAGCTGGGTAGGAACATTGTCTTTCTGGGCAAGTCCCAGATATGTAATAATTTTAATGCAGGAACTTGTGGGTTTAGTTCCTGTAGATTGTTACACGTGTGTGCTTACTGTTTCCGGGCTCACGCAAAAACCATGTGCCCTAATAAAATGTTTCCTAAACCATACCTCACTTGCATCAATGTCACGTTATTTGCTATTCAACACCACCCCTCACAACATTTGGTTAAATTTCTAACCAAAGGCTTCTCTAAAGGGTTTCACATGGGTATCGTGCATTTGCCATCTGGTACGCTGGAATGCAATAATTTGCAAACGGCAATAGCAGATCCAGGGTTAGTGGGTGATCTTATCAGAATTGAATTGGAACAGGGTTTTGTGTTAGGGCCCTTTAGTTCCCCATCTTTCACTTCATGAGAACTAATCCTATTGGTATTGTCACGGGTAAAACTACACATAAACACAGACTGATAATCGACTTATCTGCACCACATTCCTGCACGACCCCAGTCTTAATTCACTCATACCTCTGACAAATTCTCTCTGCAATGTACCACTATTGACAATGAGATCTGTGCCATTTTGGCTGCTGGGACATTAGCATGGCTCAGTAAAACATATATTGTCAATGCTTTTAAGTTACTTCCCATTCACCCTTCATTTCCTTTCAAGAGCAGCTCCAAAATATTTGATATTTTCGCTTAGACCTTGTGGTGGTTGCTACTTAATGTGTGCTGTGGCAAACCTAGCCACTTCAGACTATTTTGTTTCGCTTTAAGGGTTGCCCTAGAAAGACTGGTTTATATATGATGTTGGATGTGTTTGTTTAAAATGTTTCACGAACAGTGATTTTCAACACGATTCGTGAAACGAGCAAAGTACCGAATGGGAGCCCACACACAGGGGGTCGTGTGGCTCCCATTAACCGATCACAGCAATGTATCTATGGGCTGTTAATTGATTCCCCGGGTGGCCGTCGTTCGGCTACCGACCATAAGGTGGCGGCCATCTTGGATTCCCTTTTTGCCCAGCGGTGTTTGGTCGTCGAGTGCCTGGAACTGAAATCGGCTACTCGACGACACAAACACCGCTGGACTTCCAGGCCATTTGGGAGCGCCGGTCTTTCGGTACTTTTTCCCCACTTATGTATTTGTGACTTTTATGAGGAATGTATATTAAAGTATATTTCGTGCGGCGTTCGGCGGATTAGGCTGGGATCTGAGCGGTACTTTCACGAAGTATGCGCTCAGACCCCAGCTATCATTCGGTACAGTGGCATGAATAAAATAGAAGTTATGGATTTTTAAGTAAAAAGCCAGTTCTGCTGTACAGAGGGATAATCCACTTAACAGAATATTCTAGTGGGAGTATCCTTCTCATACAGCAGTGCATGGTGGGAGAAATGTTCTGTATGTTAAGTTCCCCATGTAGTCCCCTACTGTACAACCCCTGTAAAGTCAATAAGGAAACCCCTTGCATGGGGAACAACATAAATACTGGAGCTTGTGAATAAAATCGTCAGTTGACTCCCAGAACCGTGTGTCGTCCGGTTACGGGGGGGATTTGGGATATTGCCTTCATTTTCAGCGCTTTTCTTGGATTACCTTCTTTTACCAGTGGAGATATTGGGATTTAATATTGCAGCTCCGCTACATGTGCAGATGTCCGACTGTAATTCACTATATAGATTACTTCCTCACGATTGAAGATAACTCAGTACCCCCTAGCAGCCTCAAACACATAATGGCTCTTTTCGAATCCCTGGTTATACCGGTCACCCCTAAAAAAATGCAAGGTTCTGACACGGTTATACATTTTCTGGGTATTCAACTGAACTCAGTTCACATGCAGGCCAGTGTTCCTCAGGATAATATTGAGCGCACCCTATTGAGCATTGAGCTGTACCTACAGCTAGGTTCTTGTAACCGGAAAGAACTTCAATCTCTGCTTGGGTCGCATAATTTTGCTATGAGGATCATTCCCCAGGGTAGATCTTTCATTTTCCATCTACTTTCTTTGTTCCCGGAACTCCCCTCTGACAAATCATGCATCACGTTAGACACACATGCAACAGCTGACTTACTTATGTGGCGCACTTTTCTCACATCTTGGAACGGGCAAGACATCTTCATTCCCCCAATATCCGACAATTCTCCTACACTCTGGACAGATGCTGCAGCCAATACTGGCTTTGCAGCTATCTGTGGCAAAAAATGGCTTTGGGGTCTATGGTCTAGAGAAGTTAAGTCCCTACCTAGCTTCTCCACTACATCGGCCTTGTTTGAATTGTACCCAATCGTGGCCGCTGCCAACGCCTGGGGGCCAGACTGGGCTGGTCAATCAGTCAGATGTTTTTCTGACAACCTAGCCACTTGCCACATTGTTAATAAAGGCAAGTTTTCCTCTTTGATAATTATGAGGTTTTAAGGAGACTCACATGGGTAGCGGCCACTTGCCAATTTTTCATCACCTGTATTCACGTTTCGGGTGTCACACACATATATCAGCTGATCAGTTTTCTCATTTTTACTTTCGGCCTTCCTCCTGACTCTGCCCACCACTTCCTGTCTGGCTACCCCTGCCCCTCCATTACAAAATATGATCCTGGATTAAACGTTTATTAACTCATGCACGTAATCTTTCCCAACTTGCAATTTCGGTAACTCTAGGAAATCTCATGATAGGGCCTTTCACATTTTCACCAAATTCATAGCGGAATTTCAAATTTAGGATATGTTTGCTTTGGAGACTATATTGGGGTTTACGTCTTTTTGCCACCTTAACTTAAAATTATCTTTCAAGACGATCAAAGTTTATCTAATGGGCATTCAACACCACATGCTATTACAACATCCCAATAAAACAGGATTCCTACCAGATAAAAACTTTGCTGTAGAGAAAAAAACAGATTCACATCTACCCCCTCAAAGATTACCCATTCACAATAAAATATTCCAATCATTATCTGATTTGTTAGATACAGCTTCATTCGAACATATGACCAATATGGTAATTAAAACAGCCATTTATCTAGCTTTCTATGGATTCATTCGTCCAATGGAATTCACTATCAGTAATGTAATGGCCACAGACTACATTAAAATAGTCGATATCCACAAATCCGTAGACCATTACCTTCTTTCACTTCACCACTCTAAAACCAGCCAGATGTGACTCACTGTTCAGATACCTTTTTTCCCTACCCATAATAAATGGAGCCTTGATAAGGTTTTGGATACATATTTCAACACTTTTCACAAACAACTACTATTAGAACCACACGGTGCCATTCCTACTACTGCCAAATTTCTGCTCCATATCTTCATGAGAAAACAGGATATAATATGTACATACTAAATACATTTCAGAAAGTTAATACTAAATTACCACAGGTGAGCCAGTCATTTTGAAACACAGACCTGTGTTGATGCAATGATTAATGTCTTGGATGGAGGCAATTGTTCAAGTTCTGATCAAAGCAAAATGTAAACAAAACCTTGAAAATGTCTGTTCAACCATAATTTACCACTTTCATATTAAGTGCACCCACACATATATATAATTTTATTTAGGAGAAACAGAGCTTACATTTAACAAATATTTAGATATGTAACAAAATTTATTATGAATAAAATCTTAAAACATGTTAGAAATTAAAACATTTAGTAATTTTGTTTTTAGTTCTCCATGGCATTTTAACTGTGAATGTCATAATTCTGTTAGTTTTTCCTACAATAAAATAACATATTTGTGTTCAGCAATGTCTCATGAGTACAACAGTACCCCAATGTACAGGTTTTATGGAGTTTTGGAAAACTTACAGGCAGAGGCAGCTCTAGACTTTATGAGGCCTTAGGTGAAACTCAAACATGAGGCCCCACTAACAAAAAAGTGTCACAGTTTACCTGTGTATGTGCCTGAGAGTGTGTCTTGTGTGTGTGTGTGTGTCTGTGTGTACGTCTCTGTGAGCATGTTTGCGTTTTTGACTGAGACCCTATGTGTATGGGGTAGCTGCTTGAAGTGTGTTGTGTGTATGGGGGGTGATGGTGAGAGGGAGGGGGGATGATGGTGTGAGGGTGATGGTAGAGAGGGAGGGTGATAGGTGAGAGGGGTGATGGTGACTTGAGGTGATGGTTTGGGGTGATGGTGGGAGGAGGGTGATAGTAATGTAGAGAGTGGGGGGGGTAATGTGAGGTAGAGGGGGTAATGTAGAGGGAGGGTTGTGGGTTGATGGGTAGGGGAGGTTGATGGTGAGGGGTGATGTGGGGGTGATGCAGGGGTGGTGGGGGTGATGCTGAGGGTGGTGAGGGAGGGATGATGGGGTGAACAGGGGAGGTGAGGAGGGTGGTGAGGGGGATGATGCTGGGGGTGGTGAGGGAGGGTGATGCTGAGGGGTGGTGAGGGTGATGAGGGGTGGTGGGGAGGGTGATGCTGAGGGGTGGTGGGGGTGATACTGAGGTGGTGGGGGAGGGTGATGCACAGGGTTGTGGGGTGATGCTGGGGTGGTGGGTGAGGGGAGGTGTGATGCTGAGGGGTGGTGGGGTGGTGATGCTGCTTGGGTGAGTGATGGGTGAGGGGTGGTGGGAGGGTGATGCTGGGGATGGGTGGGGGTGGGTTGAGGGTGGTGGGGGGACTGGGGATGGTGTGGGGGTGATGCTGAGAGGTGGTGGGGGTGATGCTGAGGGTGGGTGATGGTAGGGGGTGGTGGTGAGGAGGGTGATGCTGAGGTGGGTGATGGGTGAGGGTGGTGGGGGTGATGCTGAGGGTGGTGAGGGAGGGATGATGCTGAGGGTGGTGAGGGAGGGCGATGCTGATGGTGGGGGGGTGAGGCTGAGGGTGGTGGGAGGTGGTGAGGCTGAGGGTGGTGTGGGGTGGTGAGGCTGAGGGTGGTGGGGGCTGATGGTGAGGGGGGTGAGAGAGAACCTACCTTTACTTCCTGGTGGTCCAGTGGGCTCCCTGGTGGTCCGGTGGCCATTGCTTCCGGTCTGCAGCTCCGCAGAGCTACAGACCATGTAATCTTGCGAGACCATCAGAGCGTTGCCGTGGTAACCCGCGGCAATGCTCTGATTGGCCAATTCTTGCGAGACACATGGTTTGCAGCTCTGCTCACTGCGGAGCTGCAGACGGGTGTCTGTGGTGGATGGCCGGGCAGCCAGGAGGGACCTCGCATCCGGCGGCATACCGGGCAAGCCGCCGGGCCCCCTCCTGGTGTCAGGTCCTCGGTCACTGACCGAGGACCTGACACAGTCTGCCCACAGGTGGTTTAGGCGGCCACAAGGCCCCAGCCAGCCAGGTGGCCGCCTAAACCGCCTAATTAGAGAGCCGCCTCTGAAAACGGTTTGTCCCATTAACTGGGAGTGGCACCAGGGCTGTAGTGATTATGATTAGAGTTCAGCGGACACCTGGATGTTCGGGTCCGGTGGGTTCGGCCGAACTTTGAAAAAAAAGTCCGGGTTCGGGATTGAACTTGACCCCGAACTTGACCCCGAACCCCATTGAAGTGAATGGGGACCCGAACTTTTGGGCACAAAAATGCCTCTAAAAAAGTCCTGGAAAGGACTAGAGGGCTGCAAAAGGAAGTAAAATGGGGGTAAGAGTAGGACGGGTGCCCTGCAAACTAATGTGGATAGGGAAATCACTTAAAATAACATAAAATACACAAAAATTTAAAATGCAGCTGAGCCATAAAATAGCACTAGATGAAATATTTGATTTTATCTTTGGAAGAACATAAATCAAAATCTAAAGCATGGCTGTCAGGAGGATCACCAGAATTATCCATTTGAGAGAGGGTTGGAGTGCAGGGTATTCTGCTTCATTGTTCAAACTGAGCTCAACTCCTGATGCATGGAGAAAAGGCCTTCACAAGCCTCTGCTATTGTGTACATAGTTTATACTAAGTGACCCATAGGTTGAGGAGGCGTGACCGTGGCGGTGTAGGTGGAAGCAGCGGTGGAGGAGGAGGAGGTAGCCAAAACAGTTTTTTATATATATATATATATATATATATATATATATATATATCATCCAGTAGTACCCTGCACACACACTTAAAGTATCAAAAAATGCCGGGTGCACAAAAAGCCATAGCCAATAATTACAGAAAATATATAGGAAATAAGGCTTGCACTCACGGTCTGTAGTAAAATTAAAATATTTCTTCTTTATTTGAATATTCTTAAAACATGTCTGTTATCATCGACGTTTCAGCCATCGTTCGTGGCTTTCATCAGGATCAGTTCAAAACAAATAATACATTTACAAACTTCAGCATTTAAATAGCTAAACAGACTAATTATTAAATCTTAAAAAATATATATATTTATTTTATTTATTTATTTATTTTTAATTGGGGTAGCCCCCAAAATATTGGGACATATAAAAAAAGAAACATTTGCGGCCTGCGGTGAATTTCTTGCAGTCCTGATGCATGAAGAAATGCTCAACTCCTGATGCATGGAAAAATGCTCAACACCTGATGCATGGAGAAAAGGCCTTCACAAGCCTCTGCTATTGTGTACATAGTTTATACTAAGTGACCCATAGGTTGAGGAGGTGGTGACCGTGGCGGTGTAGTTGGAAGCAGTGGTGGAGAAGGAGGTAGCCAACACTGTTTTTTATTTGTTCTCATTTTTTTAATTAGAGTAGCCCCCAAAATATTGGGACATCTAAAAAAAGAAACATTTGCGGCCTGTGGTGCATTTCTTGCAGTCCTGATGCATGGAGAAATGCTCAACTCCTGATGCATGGAGAAAAGGCCTTCACAAGCCTCTGCTATTGTGTACTAAGTGACCCATAGGTTGAGGAGGCGGTGACCGTGGCGGTGTAGGTGGAAGCGGCGGTGGAGGAGGAGGTAGCCAACACTGTTTTTTATTTGTTTTGTTTTTTAATTGGGGTAGCCCCAAAAATATTGAGACATATAAAAAAAGAAACATTTGCGGCCTGCAGTGCATTTCTTGCAGTCCAATAATGCCATCAGGTTTTTAAAACTGTCCGTCTCCACCAGACGGAATGACAGCATTTCAAAGGCCATGAATTTTGAAATGCTGGCATTCAGGGCCAGAGATTGCGGGTGGCTAGGGGGGTACTTCCTCTTTCTCTCCAGTGTTTGGGAGATGGACAGCCTATGCTGGTGCAGGAACCCACTCTCCGAGCCACTTGTGAATGACTGGCCTGAGAACCGAGATGAGGAGGAAGTGCGCAAGGAGGTGGAACGGCGCCTGGCATATTACCGAGAGGATATTGTCAGCAGGACCTTTCTGGAGGTGCAAGCCTATGTCCTTGCCAATAGACAGAGGGCGACCTCCATGAACCCAGATGAAGGAAGAATGGAGCAGAGGGCGCCGGGAAGCACAACCACCCCGGCACACAAGCTACCATACAATGCCTTCAAAGAGTTCAAGGAAGCAGAAGAAGGCATCGATTACTTTTTACAAGACTTTTAGCGCCAGTGCCTACTCCAACACATGGACCCAAGCGACTGGGTCACCATCCTGGCGAGCAAACTAGTGGGGAAGGCAGTGGATATTTACCGGGCTGTACCAGAAGAGCAGATTAGAGACTATCCCTTTATTACACAAATCCTCCTGGCCCGGTATGCAGTCACCCCCAAGCAATACCGCCGAAAGTTTAGGGAGACCCGGAAAGGGGAGAAGGACTCCCATGCGGAGTGGGGATGACGCATCACAAGGGCCACCCAGAACTGGCTCAACTCCCATCAAGCCAAGTTCCCGGAGGAGATCACCCAGCTCGTCATGCTAGAGCACTTTTTCAATGGGCTCCCCAACGACATGGCTGGTAAGAGACTGCCAGCCCCAGACCCAAGAAGTATTGGTATGAGCTGCTGAAGCTAGCTCATGATATCCCCTTGGTAGGGCATTTGGGCAGGAGCTGGACAGCGTCTCGGCTCACCCACAGCCTCTTCTGGCCAGGCATCTCTCAGGATCTGAGGCAGTACTGCCAGATGTCTGCCAGAGAGTGGGGAAGATAAGGGACCGGCACAGGGCCCTCCTCCATTCCCTACCTATTAGTGAAGATCCGTTCGGCAGAGTAGCTGACGACATTATAGTTGCATGGCATTTTGGTGACCCTAGAGAACCTCGGGCTAATCGCACGTCCCCGTGACGCGACTTTGCATTCGGATGTCTGCCCTATTAACTTTCGATGACACTTTCTGCACCTATCATGGTGACCATGGGTAACGGGGAATCAGGGTTCGATTCAGGAGAGGGAGCCTGAAAAACGGCTACCACATCCAAGGAAGGCAGCAGGAGCGCAAATTACCCACTCCCGACGCGGGGAGGTAGTGACGACAAATAACAAGACAGGACTCTTTAGAGGCCCTGTAATTGTAATGAGTCCATTTGAAATCCTTTAACTATGATCAATTGGAGGGAAAGTCTGGTGCAGAGCGACTGACCCGTGCGTGCTGCAGCTGAAACTCCACTATCGCCTGCTGCTGCTTGCACAGAGTCTCCAGCATGTGCAAGGTGGAGTTCCACCTTGTGGGAACGTCGCATATGAGGCGGTGAGT